ACAACAAACCCAGTACGTGTCTACCTCGTTTACAAATGATGATTGTTATTGTTGCTATTATTGTTGTTGTTAAACGATGTAAAATCTAGAGCGCGTTCCCCCTCTCGCCGTGTGTTGTACTCGCGCTGAGGCCTACACGTTCGGGCCCTGAGGCTCGCCAGCAAAACTCGCCGGGGTTATCGATAAAAATACGATAACAAATCGATAGCAAATCGATAACAAATCGATAACAAATCGATCTCTAACGCGTGTTTGTCTCTGTGTGTTGCCAAGTTAGTGGGGAGCGGTGGTGCAGCGGTTAGCGCGCTGCGCTCACGGCCACCACCGGTAACGTTCCTGGGCCTCCTCCCCTAGGTCGACTCAGCCTTAAATGAGTACCTGGTGCTCTGTGTGGTCAACATCGTCACTGGGGGAGACAAAGGCGGCCGGGCGTGGTTGTGGTCCCCCCTCTGTGTGTGCCACAAGTGCCGGTAGCCTTCATAGCTTGCTACTCGCTAACACCACTTGCTCCTACAGCTTGTTACAGGCTACACGGGGGGGGTCTTTGCGTGTTTATTTTACGTCTTTGTTAACAAGTTTCATCGTTTGTCGCGGGTAATCATCGTTGTTGTTTTAGGTGACGCCTTTGCTGGCAATGTGGGGAGGAACGCGTTGCCTGTGGGCTCTCTCGCTCGCCCTCGACAAACACGAACGCGTGCGTGGCAATTGCTGCTGTTGTTGTTGTTTATTCGTTGTTGTTGTTGTTGTAAGTGGTACACATTGTGTACAGATCGATTCAAATGTGGAAGTGCTCTGGGATGGGTGTGCGAATGACCGCGATGATGATGGTGGTGGTTGTTGTCGGATGTGCATTGCGTACACGGTAACAATGTGTCATGTTTCATTGGAACCTCATTTGCCAGTAAAAATATGATAATTGGTTTTTTACCCTTCTATCTGGCAACAAAACTGACACCTTATTACAAGGAGTCATGTTTGCATAGACCGCAATACCTGCAGTCATAATGCAAACAAAAAACACAACTCTGATAATGTATGCACTGTCCTTGAAGTTGATAAGGAAAGCTGTCTCGGGTGTGGACCAATCAACTTCAAGGATAGTGCACATTATCAGAGTTGTGTTTTTTGTTTGCATTATGACTGCAGGTATTGTGGTCTATGCAAACATGACTCCTTGTAATAAGGTGTCAGTTTTGTTGCCAGATAGAAGGGTAAAAAACCAATTATCAATGGGTCATGCTCATCGTTAGTTTACTATAAACGCGCTTCTGGGAGCAGGTAACAATTACTAAAACATTAAAATTAATAAAAGTAAAATAAAATAAAAATCACGACGTTTCGGAGGCAACACAAACGTCGTGATTTTTTATTTTTTTTATTTTACTTTTATTAATTTTAATGTTTTACCTACGTGACTTTGCCGAAAACATCTAAGAATATGCATCCTTGCAGTCACGAAAGCTTCAAATATAGAAACAATTACTAACATTGTTTGTGGATTCATTAAGTACTTATACGTTGCTACAAACACGCCACATGCCAAACTATACGGCTTGTTAGGATAGGATAACGTTTCGGGCATTAGCCCTACTCCAGAGCAGGAAGTCGTTTATTCGCCTTTTGAAGAGTTTTGTTCAACTAAATCGGTGTCAACAAACGCGATTCGTTGTACGTAGTGCTCGCACAAACAATGGAAACGCTGTCTCGTACCTTTAAAACAATTGGGCTGATGTAAAAAACACAGAATGTGCACAGGACACACGATAGTAAGATATCACAACGTGGGAGCTACTCACGATTATTGTGACCAAGTGAGTTTATGTCGCCTGATGTGTTTCGAGTACAGATTTATCGTTGTGTTCTGTTATTAAGCCCTTCTTGGAGATGTTAACTACCTCGCCTGGTGTACAGGAGGTCGTGGGTTCGATCCTGACCCTGAAACCTGCTGCTGTATATTTGGAATTTGCGTCTCTCTCTCCGTGGTGAGATGTTAACTACCTCGCCTGGTACACAGGAGGTCGTGGGTTCGATCCTGACCCTGAAACCTGCTGCTCTATATTTGGAATTTGCGTCTCTCTCTCCGTGGTGAGATGTTAACTACCTCGCCTGGTATACAGGAGGTCGTGGGTTCAATCTCGACCCTGACGCCTGCTGCTGTATATTTGGAATTTGCGTCTTTCTCTCCGTGGTGAGATGTTAACTACCTCGTCTGCTATACAGGAGGTCGTGGGTTCGATCTCGACCCTGACGCCTGCTGCTGTATAATTGGAGTTTGCGTGTCTCTCTCTCTGTGGTGAGATGTTAACTACCTCGCCTGGTACACAGGAGGTCGTGGGTTCGATTTCGACCCTGACGCCTGCTGCTGTATATTTGGAGTTTGCGTGTCTCTCTCTCCGTGGTGAGATGTTAACTACCTTGCCTGGTATGCAGGAGGTCATGGTTTGACCCTGACCCTAATGCTTGCAGTCTAGTTTGAGTTTTCTCCGGGTCCTCCGGTTTCCCCTCCACATTTAGACTCAACATAACGCGTTTAGAGTATTAGGCCAGCAAGGAATGTTCACGTGAGAAGCCACTTCGTTGAGATATCAATTTTGGCCAGTTCGCTTCTGAAAAAATAGTTATTATAGCTCAGTGGGCCTTACCGGGTAAATAAAACAGTTTCATTTTTAGTTTTGTTATGAAGCATAGTTCGCGGATTTGAATTGGGCAATTTTTGTCTGAATATTGTGTTGATAATTGTTTTCTTCCTAGATTTTTTTGCCCACTTCAGCAATTGTTTCTTGCTGTGGTTGTCCCACCTGTTGACGGGCGCTTGTGTTGCGCCCGAAACGTCGTGATTTTATTTATTTAGTTTTATACCTACGTGACTTTACCGAAAGAACCAAAGAGTAATTGTATTCTTGCATATGATCAAATGTTAAGTAGCTATGTGCCAGTTTAGAGGTCTGCTAGGCACGTTGAGAGGGCTTCACGGGGAGAGAGTTTGTGTATTTTTTTTACTATTCCTGGATTACTACATGGTCCAAAGTTTGCTTTGCATGGCCACAAATGCACGCCTGTAGCTTGTCTTTCATTTTACATTCATGAGCGAGATGTGAGCATTGGCCTGTTAGTGTTCTGATGGGGTTGTTGATGGTTACACCAGAGTTTGAGATGTTTGAGTCTGGAATGAGGTGTTCATTTTGGACATCCGCATTTTTTCACCCTTCTGATTATGGGTGAGCTTCTAGGATGCTTACATTATGCTTCTACAATGTATGTTGAACCTCTTTCGCACTGTATGTAGCTAACCGTACTAATTCAGAATCAGAATATTTATACTGCAGGAGGAATCCGATGAGCTATGAAGTGCTTTCTTTTCACATGTCCAGTAGGGACACAGTAAGAATGTTACAGCAACAATCGATAACTAAGTAATTGGAGGTTCGGCTGGATTGACAACAAACGAGACACAAAAAAGAGGAGGTGAGCGTGGCTTGAGTCGATGGGGAAGTTTCCATTTTTGATGTCTTGGTCGATGGGTAGGGGTTGTCGTCTTTTGCAGTTCTTGCGTGTCTGCAGATATTTGGTGGCAGAATGTTCGCTTGCGAGCCAAGAGATTGGTGCCGGGTCTCAGGGTTTCCGGTTAAGATAATGCATCGCCTTATTTAATGATACGGGGACACCCTTTACCTACGAACGAGTTAGGTTCCAGAAGTTTGTTCGTAAGTCAAATTTTCCCCTGTCGATTCCATACATGTTGTACGGCATGTACACTAAAACACGGGGAATGGCTTTAAAAGTTGTATTATCTCCTGGAGACGTATATGCCACTGGTTCTTCACGTTTGCGCGGCGGTTGGCCTGAAATTGAAGTCAGGATGTGCCAGTTTCGTAGCGGAGTGTGCGAACTCGCTGCGCCGTCTTGAATACGAGAGGTTATCTGCAGATGCAGTTGGGTTAGTGGGTGCCCGTTCACAGGCGACCAGTGTGGCTTCATCTCACCTTTAGTGCGCGAGCTGAACCGGCTTCAGATTACTGCTATGGCCCTGGTCCCGTATCTAACTAAGACTCCCAGCCCGGTGTTAGAAATACTGCGACCTGACCACCTACACTGGCGTAGGCCGCGATAAACCAACGATTCTAGATTTGAAGCTTTCGTGACTGCACGGATTCATACTCTTCGGTTTTTTCTGGTAAAGTCACGTAGGTTAAAAAAGAAATAAATGAAAACAACTAAATTAAATCACGACGTTTCGGGCGCAACACAAGCATCCTTCATCTGCTGATGCCCAACCAACGATCCCCGTTGCGGCCTACGGACACACCACATTGTGAGCGCACCGCACGTGTGCTGCTGTTGCTATTGCCAAGTAAATACTTGCAAGTGCGATGCAAGTTGGAACCATTGTAGAACACGTGCATATTAATTTAACCATTTCCGGGACATCTGCAAGTTGGCAGGGTGGGGTCCCGTTCGTTCACCGACGAATCTCGGAACTCGCAAGCGGTTCAGCCTTAATTTTATTTAGAGAGGTATAGCGCCGTTGTTTTTAAAGACATTGTACTCACCGCAGAGAACTGTAGCGACACAACTGCACTCCATGTTACATAGCCATCAACCCATACGGTCTGCCCGTGTTCTTGTGCAGGGAAGTTGAGTTTTCAGGTCCATCCGGCGCACAGCCGTTTCAATGCGAGAACGCGCATTTTTTGTCTGTTTGTGTTTCTCCCTTGTGATGGGACTTTGTAGGATGAACGTTGAGATTTATGAGGGCACGGGGTGACCAATAAGGTCAGAATTGGCCTGTAATAAGGGTAGGGCACTGATAAGGAGTTGACAGGTATGATGATAGCTGGCGCCAAACTGTGCCACACGCCCTCCCGCATGGCCTTGTGGGAGCCCTCTGTATCGACAAAGTTATTTAAAAGTTATTTTATTTCAGGTTTTCTTCCGGTAAAAAAGTTGATGATTTCATGCGTTTAATTGTTAATGTGCTCGCATTTGTCCGGTCAAAATAGGCGGTGCCGCCGCCGCCACCGACGGCCAGCCCATAACGTCGCGATGGACAAGAAAGGCCACGCGTTGGCCGTCACGGCCTTCGCACTGGACGCCGAGGGGAACCTGATGGAGGACGCCCCCAGGCCGCCGGTGCCCGGCAAGGAAGACCGCCCCCGCGCCGGCTGCCGCATCGCCGCCTCCAAACCCTCGGCGGGCAGCGGAGCGTCCGCGGCCGCCGTCGAGCGCGCCGCCGCCGCGGGTGCCAAGTGGTGCACGCCCCGGCGGCACGACTACGACCTGGGCTTCGAGCCCGAGGGCAGCGCCAGCGCCGCGGCGCCGTACGCCCGCTGCGGCGAGACGCTGCCGGCACTGCTGGGCGACCCGGACGGGGCGCACCTCCTGCGCGCGTTTCTGCGCGAGCGCGGCCTCGTCGACCTTGTCGACTTCTGGTTCGCGTGCAAGGGCCTGCGCAAGCAGCCGCGCGCCCGCACCGCCCGCGCCGCCCGCGCCATTTACAAGCGCTACGTGGCGGACGTGGGCGGCGTGGTGGCGTCCCGCCTCAAGCCGTCGACGCGCTCCGCTGTGCGGGAGGCCGTGCTGGCGCAAGCGGCGGGTGGCGCCGGCGGTGGCGATTGCGGAGCAGGCGGGGGGGAGGGAGCGTTTGACCGGGCGCAGGGCGAGGTGCAGCGCTGCCTGGAGGAAGCGGCGTACCCGGCGTTCCTGCGCTCGGACGCGTACCTGCGCCACGCGCTTGCGGAGAGCGCCGGCGGCAAGGATCACGGGAAGGTGGTGGTGCTGGTCCGGCCGCCAGACGATGCTGCGCAGGAGGAGCAGCAGCAGCAGCAGCAGGAGGAGGAGGAGGCAGCGCCGGTTGGGACAGAGTGGACGGAACGTGGTTTTGGTGGGCTGGTGCAGTCGGAGCCGTAAGTCTGACCCAGCGATTAGAATCACAATCTTTATTTAGACTGCGGGAGGAATCCGATGAGCTATGAAGCTCTTTTTTACGGATGTCCAGTGTGGGCGGGTCAGCAAGGCGATGAGTTGGTGGTGGAGATTTCGACTGGCACTTCTCACGATGCAGATTATGAAATCATAGTCCTGCTTCTCGTCTTCATCATCATCATCGGCCATCATCAATCCACTGCTGGATGAAGTGCTCCCTAAGCCATCTTCATCTTGCAATATCTTGGGATGTAACAATCCATGCAGTGCCTGTACACGAGAAGATTTTATTCCTGCAGTGGACGTAGTCACGCAAGCGTTTTCCTCCTTTGGCTGTCATTCCGTCATTAGTCTCAACCACCATTCATCATCATCCCTTCTACCGACGGGTCCTGCGCAAGCTGAATGTTTTTCATTTTATCACGCAGCCGATGTCATGTTTATAACTTGCGTATGTTGAGTGTGATGATTGAGAAGATTGATGATTGGCAATTTAACAGTGGGATTTCCCCCACTCATTGCTCTCGAATAAAATGCAATTGCTCTGAGGAGCAAGTTGAATTTCACCGCTGGTGGAATGGCCACTGGGCGTTTCGGTGGATACGGTTCGTATACTCCTCGAGTGAAATTAATTTCTATTGAGAACTTCTCGATGAATAATGAGTTGCACTTTTTCTAAGATTTGGTGTGGACCTCCAGTAGGTTAACTCGGCCTAAAACGAGCATTTGCGGCCCACTTGCGCTGGGGAGACCTAGGTAGCCGTACGTGGCGACACCTCACCTAGCATGCCGGGTTTAACAGTTTCTCGCGAACAGCACTTGCCCCGACAGCCCATGTACGGGGGGGGGGATCTTTCTCTCTTGTGTATCTGTGCGTTTGCAGACTGTCCGTGGCGACGTCGTGCCGGTACGACCCGGCAAACAGCGTCAACGACAGCGAGTGCGCCGCGTCGAGCGGCGGCACCGCCACGGATGACGGCGCCTCCGTGGCCGATAGCGCCAGGTGAGCGCCGGCCGAGCCCCCGTGATGATCGCCCCGACCCACCGGTTCCTCATTCCGGCACGGTCACAATCGCCCCGATTCGCCGGGTTCCTGTCTCTGGCGGTCTGATTATAATCTCCCTGATCTGCCCAGGTCCTTCCGCTTGGCACGGTTGTGAACTTGCAGATGGACTGGGCGGCACGGTGGCGAGATGTTAACTTCCTCGCCTGGTACGCATGAGGTTGGGGGTTCGATCCTGACCCTGACGCCTGCCGTATATTTGGAGTTACGTATCTCTCCCTCTCTCATCATCGTCACGGTGGTGAGATGTTAACTTCCTCGCCTGGTACGCATGAGGTTGGGGGTTCGATCCTGACCCTGACGCCTGCCGTATATTTGGAGTTACGTATCTCTCCCTCTCTCATCATCACCACGGTGGCGATTGCAAAGTCATCTCCGTGTAGCTTCGTGTGTTTGTGTTTATGGGTTTGTGTATGTTGTGGGGAGTGGGTGTGTTGTAGCGGTTAGCGCTACGCTGCGCTACGAACCTGGCAACCCGAGTTCGATTCTTGCTCTCGCGGCCAACGCCAGTGACGATTATCTGAACAGGTTCTGGGCCTCCCCTAGGTAGACTCAGCATTAAATGAGTACCTGGTGTGGTGTGTAAACATCGCCAGTGGTGTGGTGCTGGCCACCCACCCCCTCTTGTGCCGTGCCGGCCTTCATAGGTGCTCGGTAACAGTCTGTTAAGGCTATATGGGGATCTTTTAATTTTTTTGTTGAACTTCTTTCGCACCGTACGTAGCCAACCGCACTTATTGGAGGTGCGGGGTGAGGACAACAAACCAAACACAAAGAGCTGTTCTGAAATAAATTAGTTTTCAATTTGGATTTTATAAATTGCACTGCTCCAGTGGCTTCCTAAAATTGTTGGCACCTGTGTGTGGATTTTCTGTGGGTACACACGTCAAACAGATGGGAGTGTTCGTTTCTAACTTTTACAGAACGTTACGTTTCTCCAGTACCAGGTGTCCGATCGGATGGCCGGTATAGCAGCTGGATTGAATCCATCTGTGCGGAGCTCTGCCACCCGTATTTTAGTTTACCACGGAATTTATTTGCGTTCACCGGGAAATGTATTTGCGTTCACCGGGAAATTTATTTGCGTTCACCACGGAACTGATTTTCGTTCACCGCGGAACGCATTTGCCTTTCCGAAACATTGGCCCAAGTTTCGGCGGACCACCGAGGAGGCGGGGTCGGGGGGGGGGCGGCGAATTGTTACGTTTAGCAGTGAGCTCCTCCGGCCACGCGGCGTGGGCTAAATGGTCGGCGAGCGTGTGACGTAGGAGAGACGAGGAAGACGCCCGTCTGCGAATAACGGCGAGGGGAATCTTGAACCGGAGCGGAGGAGCAGCCGACTGAAAAACCCGCGCAATATTTACCGCGGAGGGAAATGAAACGTCTTCAAAATGCAGCGCGCGTTGGCTTGGCCAAGCGAAGTAACAAATGTGGAACGATAGCACGGCTGTGCGGTGAATGGACAGTTGTGTTTGGGACAAGATGATTGTGGTGTGCGATGTGCCTCAGAATCGGGAACAATTATGCCTGCAAGTACAGCACCTTTGCCAGCTCGTTATAGAATTTCCAAAAACGCAATCGTAATTGTCCCGTGGTCGTGCGTGCAGATGCTTTGTGGCATGCGGTTAGACATTCGTGATGCGTGGTTAACGGACGCATTGTTGTTGTTAGCAGACACTGATGGGATCTGATTGTTGAGATGCGCCGGTGTGGCTAGTTAGACTCTTACGGTGCGCGGTCATCAGAAGCTTGCGCACAGTGGCGGCACTGCCTGCCTGCCGCCGCTGCCGCCGCTCGGCATATTTACACGCCGGATTAGATGGCTCCTCCGTGCGTCCGGCCGTAACCGTGACCCCGGCAGCCACGCGAGGGAGGGAGCGCCGCTCTCCCTCCCTCCCTCGCGCCACCGTTCCCTCCTCCTCTGGGCGAGCGCCGGCTCACTCGTCAGCGCTGCAGGGCAAAACCAGTAGCCACGGAGCCGGCACCGTGTAGGGGCCTGTCCCCAATGGGAAGACCCCCCCCCAGGGGCCTCCCCCCCCCGCCTCCGGCTGCTGCGTGCGGGAAGCGAGCGTCCGACGTCCGCGTCGTCGTCATCGTCCCGCGCATGTCGCCCGGGAGATGCGGCGGTAACGTGGACCGTGTGTGGGTTCGCCTTGGCGCCGTCTCTCCGATGCACTTGTCGCTTGCGCCGCTCGGCGTGTCGTGCCGAGGGGGTCAGCAGTCGATCTTCTCCGTGGCTCATGTTGCCTCTCGGCGTTGCTGCCGAGGTTGATTGTCCAGTTGACGCGATTCTAGGTTGCGCCTTTAAGGCTGCCGTTTCATTCCACTGTTTGAATGCTTGGGAAATTGTCAAGTGACGTCATTCCAAAGGGGAATATGAATTAGATTTGCAATGCTCCGTTGAGCAATGGATCTCAGAGTGCCGTTGGTGACATTTTTGAGGACTTTCGAACGATGTACGTTTGTATGTCTGTTGAACTTCTTTCGCACCGTACGTAGCCAACCGTGCTAATCGTATAGTCGTGGTGTACAGCAGTGTAGCATGTATAGTAGTGTAGCGTATAATAGTGTAATGTATAGTAGTGTAGTGTGTTGTGTATAGTAGTGTGTATGTTGAACTTCTTTCGCACAGTACGTAGCCAACCGTGCTAATCGGAGGTGCGGATGAGTCGAGTGTCTTTTTGGGGCTCGTTTGTCCAACTTGTCACAATAAGGAGTTGACCAAACTGCTGTTCGTCTCTCTCTCACTGCGCGGTGTCAGCCAAGGCTGTGCGTGGCCGGTCAGCCCGCCGTGGTGGTGACGGTGGTGACCGTGTATGTACCGTGCTCGCGCGTGTTTTTCAGCGTCCGGTACGGAGCGCCGGACTTTAGCCACAGGGCACCGCCACACGCTGAGAGGACGCGACCGGCTTCTGGCGGTGCAGGGGAGCCGCTCCACCCACCGGTAAGTCAAACGCTGTCCACAACTCTGCGGTCTTCTCGCCCGGTGATGCCGGTTGGAATTGCCGGCGGAATGTCACGGTGCTGGAATAGGTAAATGTTGTGGTGGGTTTACTCGGCAACACGTGACCGGTGAGTGCTGTACTCGTGACGAATTGGCACGTTCTGTTTACGTGACGAACCTCACCAATTAGCCGTGGCGGGTGTGACGACACATTTATATTTACGCGATCTAACACCAAGAAACATCTCTTGTGAACCCACATGATCGTTCGTGGAGAAAATAATCAAGGGGTATTCATTTCTCCCGGACGCACATCGATGCGCGTGTCACGAGTATAAGAAGATATTTTTAACGGCCTATCAGGCGAACTGTTTGGTCTCATCCGTACCAGCACCCGTATAGCCTTAAGAGACTGTTGGGGCAAGTGCTGTTAGCGAGTAGAACCTACGAAGGCCGGCACGGCACACGAGGGCGTGGGTGGCCAGTACCATGCCCGGCCGCCTTTGTCTCCCCAGTGGCGATGTTTACACACCGCACGAGGTACTCATTTGAAGCTGAGTCGACCTAGGGGAGGGCCCAGGAACAGTTCAGATATACGTCACTGGTGTTGGTCGTGAGCTGGAATCGAATTCTGGTCACCAGGTTTCGAGTCACACACCCACTTACCCACCTACTCACCCACCCACCTACTCACCCACCCACCTACTCACCCGCCCACCTACTCACCCGCCCACCTACTCACCCACCCACCTACGCACCCACCCACCTCCTCACCCACCTCCTCACCCACCCGCCCACCTACTCACCCATCCACCTACTCACCCACCCACCTACTCACCCACCCACCTACTCGCCCACCCACCTACTCGCCCACCCACCTACTCGCCCACCCACTCAACCACCCACCCACCCACTCACCCACCCACTTACCCACCCACCCACTCGCCCACCCACTCGCCCACCCACCCACCCACTCACCCACCCACTCGCCCACCCACTCGCCCACTCACGCAGTCATGCAGGTCACCTCACTTCTGTCTACCTCTTCCCTCACACTGCTCCACTTTGAAATTCCCTCCTGTTGCCTCGCCCCCCCCCCCAAGTTCTAAACAACATTGCTCAATTCAAGAAACGCATTGTAACCCTTTCGTATTTCGCCCTTACTATTTGCTGTTTGTTGCTGTGCCCCTTGCCGTATTGGGCCTCCTAGGCCATGCTTGCCAACGATGAGTTAAAAACAAGTAACTCTTCACTCTCACGGGCTCGAATTGTGAACATAAGAATAGCTTTTTCATCAACGTGCTAAACGTGTAAATAATCACCCTCTCGCCGTTTGACGCGTTTCGCCCGACTGCATTGTGGGAACGGTGGTACGTGTGCCTCACTGTCGAGGCGCTGTCCCCCGCAACCTAGCGGGGGAGACAGGACGGAGCATTCGTACGAAGCCTCGGCGGCCCCGCGGACGTCTTGAAATAGTTAAAGCTAGAACCGCCTGTGAGGAAAGAAAGAGAGAGAGTGGGTGGGGGGGGGGGAGAGAGAGCCACCCTGACCTCTGCTAAGCCCCCCCCCCCCCACAGCGAGTCCCTTTGATGTGCCGCGCCGCGTCGAGCTTAGCGTTTAATCAGGGGACGCGTGGCCCCCTAGGCCAGCCGTGTTTGTTTAGCGTCGGGCGCAGGAGCCTGCACGCAACAACAGTGGCGAGTTTACAATCCCCACGTCGCTCGCTCGCTCGCTCAATCCCGTCTCCCGGTCTTGCCGGTCTCCGTGCCTCGCTGCTCCGTCCCGTAATGCGAGCGCGCAGCCCGTGGGGCGGTTTGATGTTGTGGGTGTCGTGGGCGCGAGTCCTTTGAAGCGCTGAGCTGCGAGCGTTGGTGGCGGTGCGATGGCGGCGGCGGTGGCGGTGGTGGGGGGGGGGGGCGGTGAGCTGGAGCGGCGGCGGTGCGGTGAGGACTCGCGGGGGCCGGTCTGCGGTGAGACCCGCCAACCATTGACCGAGTTGGGGGAACATTCGCTGGGATCGCGCGTGAAATGTTATGTCGTCTCCGGACCAGCGGGAACATTTCAAGCGACGCTATTGCCGTACGTTCTCCCGATTTATATAACGCTCCCCAGGCTTTTGAGTCGTGTTGAACAGAAACAAAAAATTTAAACGTGTTTTTTAAAAATATTCGCGTGGAATACGGTACAGTGTGTTGTAGAGAGCCATCTTCCAGGAGACGATTATGAACACGCTGCTCTAAAATGGGAATAGATGGTCTTCTGTAAGATGATTCTGAGCGGCTGGTGGGGAGCGGTTCCTGTCGTCGGGGTGGTCGTGCATCGCTACGGAGAATCGGCTTCCAGAAGATGAGTATGAACAACCGAGCTAAACGATCTTCTCGTTGACAAGTGCATTCTCCGCATCGTAAGATGTACCTTTAACCTACAGCGAGGGGGGGCGGGGGGGTGAATGAGTGCATCTTGGGAGGATGCGGTAATGCTCCTAACCTTCAAACATTTTCCGTGTATTTAATAGCACAGTGGTGCATTTGGAAAGTAAGAGGCGAAAAAGTGATGAGGGTTTGTGTTGTTGTCGAGCCCGGTTCATCACTCAGACTTTATTCTGACGCGTAGCCCGATGTTGATTCTGTTTAAGACTTGGGCAAAGTTTGCGTTTTGCTTCGACCATTGCCATGGATCGCCTGCGCGGCAAATCGAGCTGAACGGCAGCGCCGTGGCGTCCGCGTGCACCGCCAACGTGGTTTCACGGCCGCGTACGAGGTGACGCTGGTGTTGTCGAGATGTTGGCTACCTCGCTTGGTACGCACGAGGTCGAGGGTTCGATCCCAACCCTGACGCGTGCTGCTTTATATTTGGAGTTTGCATGTTCTCTCCGTGGTCGCGAGGATTGTTTCTCCTCCGGTTTTTCCCTCCACATTTCGAATCGACGTGCGTTTCGAGTTATTTGGCTGCTATACATTTCCGCGTGATAAGCTTCTTCGTTGAGCTATCATTCGTGGCCAGGTGGGGGGGCCTTACCTTGGTAAAATATAAATAGTTTAGTTTTAGACAGGCAGACGCGATAGAGGTACCCTAAGTAAACGTGACAACTGGCATTACCGGGCAACTGCTAGGAGCAAAGTGTGACTGATAACGGGGAAGTGAGTTCTTATCGCGCCCCGCTTGTGTTTGAATTCCCTCCGGACCGTGAGCGGCTTTGGTAGCACGTGTGTGCGTGTTTGTCGCAGGCCTGTGTGTGCACGCGTGTGCGTATTTGTCGCAGGTCTGTGTGTGCACGCGTGTGCCCGTGTGTACATGGGGAGCGGTGGTGTAGCGGTTCGCTCGCTGTGCTACGAACATGGCGACCCAAATTCGATTCTCGTTCACGGCACAACACCAGTGACGATTATCCGAACCGGTCCTGGGCCTCCCCTAGGTTGACTCGGTCTAAAATTAGTCCCTGGTGTGTTGTGGAACCATTACCACTAGGGAGACCAAGGCGGCGAGGCATGGTGCTGGCCAAGCACCCCTTCGTGTGTCATGTCAGCCTTCATAGGTGCTCGCTAACAGAACTTGCCCCATCAGTCTGTAAGGATATACGGGGGTTCTTTGTCTTTGTGTTGTGTGTGTAACGATGTGTGGGAGCAGTAGTGCTGCGGTTATCGCGCTGCGGTACAAAGCTCGCAATCCAAGTTCAATTCCCGCTCACGGCCAACACCAGTGACGAATATCTGAACCGGTCCTGGGCCTCCGCCAGGTCTCAAATAGGTACAGGGCGCGATGTCTAAACATCGCCACTAGGGAGACAAAGGCGGCCGGGTGTGGTGTTGGCCACCCACCCCCTCGTGTGCTGTGCTGGCCTTCAAATGTGCTCGCTAACAGCACTTGTGCGAACAGTCTGTTCAGGCTATACGGGGGATCTTTGTCTTTGTGTGTAACTGTGTGTGTGTGTGTACCTGTGTGTGTGTGTGTACCTGTGTGTGTGTGTGTACCTGTGTGTAACTTTGTGTGTAACTGTGTGTGTGTGTGTACCTGTGTGTAACTTTGTGTGTAACTGTGTGTGTGTGTACCTGTGTGTGTGTGTGTACCTGTGTGTGTGTGTGTACCTGTGTGTGTGTGTACCTGTGTGTGTGTGTACCTGTGTGTGTGTGTGTACCTGTGTGTGTGTGTGTACCTGTGTGTGTGTGTGTGTGTACCTGTGTGTGTGTGTACCTGTGTGTGTACCTGTGTGTGTGTGCCTGTGTGTGTGTAACTGTGTGTATCTGTGTGTACCTGTGTGTAACTGTGTGTGTGTGTGTACCTGTGTGCTCGTGTGCAGTGGGCGGTGCGAGTGCCGCGGGTGGCCAGACACTCGGAGCCGGCAGTGTTTGCGGCAGAGCTGATCCGGCGCCTGAACTCGGTGCAGATGGAGCGGCACTGTCAGCACCAGCCGCTGCTGTACAGCCAGAAACAGGTGAGGTTCGACCCCCAACAGGGCATTGGAATGCTTGAGAAGAGATGTGTGGTGTAAGGTGCTCCTGAGTTGCTGAGGTATTACTGGTAGGAACCTCCTGGTTACACCAGCCCACAGGGGATTATTGTGTCCGTCCGTCCGTCGTGCAGGGAGGGGCTGGGTTGGTAAGGAGGGGTTGGGTGGGGAGGGTGGGGCTGGGTGGGGAGGCTAGGAGCTGGGTGGGGAGGGGCTGGGTGGGGAGGGTCTGGGTGGGGAGGGTCGGGAGGGGCTGGTTGGGGAGGGTCGGGAGGGGCTGGGTGGGGAGGCTGGGGCTGGGTGGGGAGGGGCTGGTCACCCCGTGGTGCCCTTATAAAACTCAACGTTTGACCTACTCACGCCGGCTTGTGCCCACCCTCACAGTCGTGCATATTTGCGGAATACACCACGCCGCCGTTGACCCTGGCCATTGACCGAGCAACCCAACGTTCCTACCAGCTCACTCCACAGGAATGTGTTTAAACAAGCGTCCCCCTTACGTGCAAATCCTCATCTCCCGACACTGTGAGAGACGGTAACGTATGTTGAACTTCATTCGCACCGTACGTACTAAACCGTGCTAATCCGAGGTAAGGGGGAAGGACAACAAACTAAACAAAAAAAATCAGCTCTAAAGAAATTAGTTTTAAATCTAGATTTAAAAGTGCAGAGGACCAGTGGCTTCCTCATATCGGAAGGAAGAGCGTTCCAGACGGCCGCATCAACGTCACCACCATCGCCATCCCCCACTTCCGTATCATGCAAGTACTTTTTGAACATCACCACCATCACCACCACCATCATGTATGTACATATGTAGAATTTTATTCGAGCCATACGTAACCAACCGTGCTACTCGGAGGTACGGCGGGAAGGACATCAAACTAAAACGCAGAATTCAGTTATAAAGAAATGAGTTTTCAATCTAGAAAAGTGCAAAGACCGTTACAAGCCATCGCGGAAGTCGATAGGAAATTGAATTGGTAACTTCACGGCGGCGGCAGCAGCAGCATCAGGAGGAGGAGGAGGAGCGGCAAGAGGAGGAGGAGAAGGAGGAGACGGTGACGATGGCGACACTGGGACTGTCGGGCGCGTCCGTGCTGCCGGCGCTGCACCCGTTTGCGCTGCTGCTGCGTGCCGGCGCCGATGCCGACGACGACCCCGAGCGAATCCTGGACCAGCACGTGTCGCGAGTCCTGCGCACCCCCGTGGTGTGCCGCTCGCCCACCAGCCGCCCCCACCAGCACGGCCACCAGCACGGCCACCAGCACCACCACCAGCACCACCACCACGCGGCCCAAGCCGCGGCGGTGAGCGGGCGGGCGCTACCAGTGGACAGGAGCCAGCACGGGGCGACGGCCGTTCCCTTCAGGTGGGTTGTGCATCCGCCGCTTGATGTCGCGTGGCATGTGAACTAAAAACGATTAACTTTTATTACTTTACCAGGTAAGGCCCAATGAGTTGTACAGCTCTTTTCCAGAAGCGACCCTGGATATCGCAAATGATAGCTCAACGAAGTGGCTTTTCATCGTGTGGAAATTCACAACGGTAGCCAACTGCTCCAAACGCGTGACGTTGATTCTAAATATGGAGGGAAAAACCGGAGGAGCCGGAGAAAAATCCACGCGACCACGGGGAGAGAGAGAGGAGATGTAAATGACAGGTGTTGTTAGGATCGAACCCACGACCTCTTCTCTACCAGGCGAGGTAGTGACACCATGTGGCCAGCTGTCCGGGCCAGTTCAGAATTGGTGTTCATTTAGTTGGCGTAATGAGTGACGGAAAAAATAATGTTTTGTTAATTGTTTTCACATTTTAGTCAGCGGTGACTTAAGCATGATGACGACTACGATCTCCCAGCGGAGAGATGGAAGCGTGACGGACTTATGATGGGCGGAAATGAACGAGTCCCAATGACGTAACAGACCGAGATAATTGAGTAATCTTGCTAGAGAATGCAGTGCACGGAGCGAGACCAGACTTGGTAATCGGCTCTCTGTATTTCTTCTTGTAATTATAACAAGTATAATTCTAACAAGTAATAGTAGCAATTAATCGTAACAATTAATCGTTAACAATTAGGTTTTTTCGGTAAAGTCATGTAAAAAATAAAATTAAAGTTAATAAAAGTAAAATCAAAATCACGACGTTTCGATTTTTAAATTTTTTTTATTTAACTTTTATTAATTTTAATTTAATTTTTTACCTACGTGACTTTACCGAAAAAACCTAAGAGTATGAATCCTTGCAGTCACGAAAGCTTCAAATCTAGAATTAATTGTTAATAATGATCAATTCAGTGAGTGGCTGACCTGACATTGCAAGCCCCTCACACTAACATTTAATCAGCCGTAGCAGACAAATGTTGACACTGCTCTGAACCGGAGTTGTGGATGCGGTGAGAACACGAGAGTGGGTGGTCACTGACGCACTGGTGCCTCTTGGGAGGTGGGGTATTGACACCTATTGATGTGTGCGGTGGTGGTGGTGTGGGTGTGGTGAGTGCGGGAGGGTGGGTGGGTGTTGGCAAGTATTGGGGCACTGCGGTGGCTTGGAGATGTTTACTACCTCACCTGGTATGCAGGAGCCCGTGGGTTCGATCCCGACCCTTACGCCTGCTGTATATTTGGAGTTTGCGTCTCTCTCCGTGGTGAGATGTTTACTACCTCACCTGGTATGCAGGAGGCCGTGGGTTCGATCCCGACCCTTATGCCTGCTGTATATTTGGAGTTTGCGTCTCTCTCCGTGGTGAGATGTTTACTACCTCACCTGGTATGCAGGAGGCCGTGGGTTCGATCCCGACCCTTACGCCTGCTATATATTTGGAGTTTGCGTGTCTCACTCCCCGTGGTCGCGTGGATTTTTGTCCGGGTACTCCGGTTTTTCCCTGCCACATTCAGAATCAACGTCACGCGTTTAGGGCATTTGGGTGCTGCTATAAATTCCCACGTGATGGTGACAAGCCACTTACTTGAGCGACGATTAATTGTGATAGCCAAGTTGCTCTCTGACAAAGAGCGAAACAGCTCAGTGGAGCCCCTCACCTGGTTAAAATAAAAAGCTTGGTGTGCGTGATGGCGTGGCCGTGCTCGGTGCGGGTATTTTGCCGTGCAGCGGCGGCGGTGCGTGCGTGTTGCGTGTGGCAGTGCCGTAAGAGTGTGTGGTGCTGTTGGTGCGGCAGGAAGGCCATCCCGGCGGAGGAGGTGGACAGGGCGAGGCAGATCTGGCAGTGGCTGGTGGAGGGAGAGAGGGATGGGCTCGGGCACGTGCACAGGTGTGTGAATGTTAGAAGGGGTGGGGGGGGCGGGGAGTGTTAACGAGGGGGGGGAGGGGAGGGGAGGGTGTCGTTCACGGTTGCGGCTCTGAGTGTGCACGAGCGAGTCGAGCGATCTCGGTTGATGACAAGTGAATAAGCCGTTCGTGAATCAGCAACGACGCGGGTAAGCGGCGTTAATAAAAGTGCGGCGTCTGCGTAAGCAGTTGAGTTGGCGATGCTAATACTGGTAGGAACCTCCTGGTTACACCAGCCCACAGGGGATTATTGTGTCTGTCCGTCGTGCAGGGAGGGGCTAGGTGGGGAGGATGGGGAGGGGCTGGGTGGGGAGGGTGTGGCTGGGAGGGGTTGGGTGGGGAGGGTGGGGCTGGGTGGGGCTCGGTGGGGAGGGGCTGGTCACCCTGTGGTGCCCTTATAAAACTCAACGTTTCACCTACTCACGCCGGCTTGTGCCCGCCCTCACAGTCGGGCATATTTGTGGAATACGCCACGCCGCCGTTAACCCTGGCCATTGACCGAGCAACCCAACGTTCCTACCAGCTCCCTCCGCAGGAGGAATGTGTTAACTCTGTGAGCATCCTCGTAGTGTCGGTAACTGCGAGCGTAGTTGCCGAATCGACGATAGTGCCAATATAACCGCTCTTCAGCATCTGCGTCGCGAGCCTGCGGGTTGAACCCGGTTGTCTGTGCACCCCCCCGCCCCCCCCCGCCAGCGAGCTGGTGGTGGAACGTCCCTGGGGCCCTCCTCCCAGGCGCCGGGTGGTGCAGCCCAACCACCCGTTCCTGCAGGACCCGTCCATGCCACCCCCGCCGCCCCCCAACACCACCGTGCAGCTGGAGGAGGCCAAGCGGCGCCTGGAGGAGGAGCAGCTGGTGCCCTTGAGCCGGAGCGCCCAGCCCGGCAAGCACAAGTGAGTGCCCGGCGACTTTTCCCGACGGTCGACTTGCACGTAGCAGTCGTCGCCGTTTGCCGGGCAACAAGGGCGGGCGCGACGGGCCAGAAATGCCGAGTGGCCAGCAACGAGCAGCACTGTCGAATTTGTAATAATCATAATTTTTTTTAAATCCAAGTCAAAGGTGATTTCCTGCTCATAATGAGCATTGGCGTGGCGCTTACCTCCTGGATCCAGTGGTGGAAATTCTACATTGCTATGGCGGCGAGGGCGACTCCATAAGATAACCTGAACCTGGGGCGACGATGGGGCCTAGTCAAACCGTCAACTTGTTCTTTCGCGTGGATTTATTATAGCAGCATAGGGTTGCCTGGTGGAGTCGTGCCGAGTCAACGTGTCTGCCAAAGTGTCCCCCTGCTCAGTCTCGAGCATCTCCGTTAGAAACGCCACATTCCGATTTGCCTGGCTCTCACCATCCCTATGGGCAGATGAATATAGCGGGAGGTATTATTAGCGTGGGATGTAATGGTTGTGGTGTAATGGTTGGCTTACTGGACTTTGCAAGCCAGAGGTCGCTGGTCCAACTTGGTCTCACGGCATGGGGAGATCCCAACTTTCTAATTGCGAGTCAACACTGTGGCCGCCTCGGCTAGGTATACGTGGAGTTGTTTTGTGGTTAAGTAGCCCCACGGCTATAACGTTAGTGGCAAACGGCGTCTTAACCTCTTCTGGGCCTTGCCGTAGTCAACTCTGGTGGTCTTGGCGCAGTGTGTACACCACCACTACCACCACCCCATCCGCCGTTCTGGTCTTCAGCGGTGCTCGCAAACAGCACTTGCCCCCATCAGTCTATGGAGGCTACACGGTTCATATTCTTAGGTTTTTCGTTAAAGTCACGTAGGTAAAAAATAAAAAATAAATAAAAATAAATCACGACGTTTCGGAGGCAACACAAGCTTCCGTCTTTATTTTATTTAATTTTACTTTTATGAATTAAAAATTTTGACCTACGTGACTTTACCGAAAAATCCAAGAATATGAATCCTTGCAGTCACGAAAGCGTCAAATCTAGACTTACACGGTGCATCTTTGTGTTTGCGTTGCCGTGCAGGTACGTCCAGGAGGTGATTGAGAGGGGCCGCTGTCTTGCCAGGGGCGTTGCCGCGCCCATCACGAGCGCCGTTTCCACCGTCCCGGACGCACACCCTGCGGAGTACGGGTGAGCCGCACCGAACCGTGACGGTCCACACCTTTAACATCCACGTTGCCATGGTGGCGAGATGCTATCTTCCTCGCCTGGTTTTTTAGCAGGTCGGGCGTTCGATCCCGACCCTGACCCCTGGTCTATATTTGAAGTTTGCGTGTCTCTCTCCCCGTTGTCGCGTGGGTGTTTTCTCCGGGTTCTGCGGTTTTTCCCTCCACATTTAGGAACATGCGTTTAGAGTGATAATTGTTTTTTTACCCTTCTATCTGGCAACAAAACTGACATCTTTTTTACAAGGAGTCATGTTTGCATAGATCACAATACCTGCAGCCATAATGCAAACAAAAAACGTAGACGTAGATGCCATTGGTTATTTACGTTCTGCAGATGTAGATGCCATTGGTTCTTCACGTTCTGCAGATGTAGATGCCACTGGTTCTTCACGTTCTGCAGATGTAGATGCCACTGGTTCTTCACGTTGTGTAGATGTAGATGCCACCACTGCCATCCATTGCGCGGCTGTTGAACTTACGACTCTCGGTCCGAACAGACGAGTGGACGTACGTAAGGGTTTGTTCGTATCTCTGAAGACCAGGTCATTCAGACGCTGTCTCCCCAACAGACCTGGTCTTCACCTGAGGACGGCTGCTTGCGTTGTGGCCGAAACGTCGTGAGAAATATTTTATGTTTTATTTTTATTATTTTATTACTTCCCTTCTACGTGACTTTACCGAAAGAACCAAGAAAAAACTGCCGACTGGTTTCATCCTCGTTAGGACTCGTCGATAAGGCGCATTCGTCAGCCCAGCAATTCTATCAGTTTGCTGGTGTCGGAGGGTGTGGGGATGCATGGTCACGTGACTGGCGCGCTGCCGTGGCGGCCTTGCGCTGGGCTAAGGCGCGACGCACCTGGTGGTTGTGGTAGAGGCACGTTGACAGGCGTGCGGGCGTGCGTGAGCCCGGGAAAGCAATCCTAATTCCATTGCGTGGCGGACTTTGAAGTCGAATCCTCGCCTCGACGTGGGGAGCTTTGTTGGCCTGCGCCGCTCATTTTGGGAGGGGTTTGATGTTTTTTCAGGAGCCGACTGATGAAATGCACTTGACGCCTTTTTTTGTGGGTTTGTATTTCAAAGCTCAAAAAAAAAACCTCTGTCTCTCTCCACGTGCGTGTGTGTGGGTTTGGCCACCAGATGAGGATTTGTACATTTTTGTTTTATTTTGTAAGCTTTGTCCTTTTTTTCTCTCTCTCTCTCGCTTCGCTTGCGTGACATCTAACTTCTTTTCGGAATGACAATTCGTTTTGGATTTCACGGAAAGTTCGCCCCTCCCCCCCCACCCGTGTCTCCGTGACTGCACAATAACGCGCGCGCGGGCACAGGCCTGCTGACATTCTCTTGATGTCGGGCGCCGCACGCTTCTTTGCGGAAGCGCTGACGGAAAAATGGAAATTAAATTATTAGAAAGAGCTGCTCCTAAAGTCACGGGGTAGTGCACGCAGCCAACAGCAACAAGCACGCAGGTGAAGAGACTTCATCGCCACGGTACCAATGGGGGATGAATGGTCACCCGTGGTATGTCTGGGACGCCAGTAATCATAATGATGAAGCCACTGATCATTTTCTGTCATTTCAGAATATTGGATCAGGCCCCGTCCACCGCGTTTGATTGAGCGAATTTGGCGGTCATGGATTTGATTCAGTCATCAGTCTCGTTTTCCTTTTCACCGTCTGGTTTGTGTGGTTTCTCGTTTTTTTTCTCACGGTGACATTTTTCTGCCCCCACTTTTCAGAACAAACATTATGAGCGTATTATTTGCTTATATTCTGCATGCATCTTCTTGGTTCTTTCGGTAAAGTCACGTAGAAGGAAAATAATAAAATAATAAAAATCAAACATAATAAAAGAATTCTCACGACGTTTCAGCCACAACGCAAGCAGCCGTCCTTCACCTGAGGACGGCTGCTTGCGTTGTTGACCTAGGGGAGTCCCAGGACCGGTTCAGATAATCGTCGCCGGTGTTGACCGTGAGCGGGAATCGAACTCGGGTCGCCGGGTCCATAACGCGGATACACCTGATGATGGAGGCTTGTGTTGCTTCCGAAACGTCGTGATTTAATTTATTTTCATTTTCTACCTACGTGACTTTACCGAAAAAAACAAAGAGTATGAATCCTTGCAGTCACGAAAACTTCAAATCTAGAACCATAGCGCAGCGTAGCGCTAACCAGAGGTCGCAAACGGGTTTTGATTCCTTACCCGTACCCGGCCGCACCAGGGTTGCAATCGGGTACCCGATACCCGTACCCTACCCGATACCCGGCTACCCGTACCCGGCTGGGTATCGGGTAGGGTACGGGTACGAGTACCCGATTGCGACCTCTGGGATGAAGCCATGTTGCAGGCGCGGGTGGGTTGATTCTAGGAACTTTAATTGTGAGAAGAGACAAGACGTTGGGAAATGAGTGACAAACGGTTTACTCACCAGTGACTCACGGCCTACCCGTACCCGGCCGCACCAGGGTCGCAAACGGATACCCGTATCCGGCCGGGTACGGGTAGGGTACGGGTATCGGGTAGGGTACGGGTATCGGGTACCCGATTGCGACCTCTGGCGCTAACCGCTAGACACCTCTGGTGCACTCGCTGCCTCACTCTTACACGCGTGCACCAGTGCCACTCCCGTGCACCTGACTCTGCCACCGCCCAGGCTGATTTTTCCTTGCATGCGACCGGTGTGTGGGGCTGCCGCTCGCTATCTTGATTCGCACGCCGGTTCCGGTGAGCCATCGCCGCCGCCGCCGCCGCCGCCGCCACCGGCTGTAATTGCCGTTAAATTGAGCTCTCGCGTTTGAAGTGCAGTCGCTCGGCTTTGAAGTGAGTGAGGAGCTGAGGGGCTAAGCCCGTGGCCCCCCGTGCATGCGATTGTGGGACGTCTCCCCCCCCCCCCTCTCCACTCCCGTCCCCCCAAACCCCAGTGCCCCCTGAGCCACGGCCGCGTGGGCTTTTTGGTATTTTTAATCTGAAAAGGAAGTCCTCCGTCTATCCTAAGGCTCGCTGTCCTCCCTCAGCTAGCTAGGTGATTCGCAAACATGAAAGCGCTGCCTTCATGTTGCGTTTGAAGCGGCGGCTTGTTTAATTCTGCGTGCGATGGGTTTTTCTATATAAATACCTTTAAAAAATCTATTATTTTTTTATTAATCTAACGCTGCTGCTGTCGCCGTCCCACGGCTTTAGAGCGGAAGTTGAGCGTGCCCGTTCGTCGCTGCAGGCCACCTCTGCCGCCTCTCCGCCCTCCCGGAGCTCGCTTGCCATCACCGCTTTGAGCAACAGATCTCTCGCTTGCGTGAAGTGCGCTCGCGAAGCCGGGTCCCGAGCACCCGCCCCCCCCCCCCCCCCCCCCCCGGTAGACTTGGGCCGTGTGCGGGCGCGCGAGTTGGCGCCGCCGCACTGCGCCGCTGGAACCCAGCCGTCGCGAGTTCGGCCAACATCGGTGACGGAGTTTGGTAGTACGTGTTGTTTACGTGTTTTATTGTGAAAATTCGGTCACAGTTCCCATGACCACTGTTTCATTGCTTTTATGGCTTTATTTTGGTGATTTTCGATAAGTTTTTTGGTTTGGCCATGTTTGTTTGTTGTAGTACAGAGTTAGGACTGATGGCCTTAATCTTAAGTTGTCTTGTGGTTGTTGTTGTTTGACTTGCATACCACTGGGGTTTTTGCACATTTTTGTGTACGGTGCTTTTTCTGCAATATTTTACTGTATTATCTTGGATTTTCTGTTTGCACTCAGTCACATATTCACTTTAAGATGTGTTTTGTTCATGTTCTAGTATCAAAGGAAACGTCAACATCTGATGACTGCTGAATTTCAGCTCCGTAACTTTTTTTCAGAACCGACCAGGCTGCAACAAATGATAGCATGGAAATGTATAGCAGCCGAATAACTCTATAAACGGGCGACGTTGATTAGAAGTGTGGAGGGAAAAACCGGAGGACCCGGAGAAAAATCCTCGTGACCACGGCGAGAGAGCGAGAGAGAGAGAGAGACACGCAAACCTCCACATATACAGGCGTCGGGGTCGGGATCGGGATCGAACCCATGACCTCCTGTCTACTGGCTCAATTAATAGTCGGTGAGCTCAACCGGGCTACCAAAAGAGGGCCAGCACCCTGTCAGAATAAATGTGTGGCGTGGCCATAATGTTAGAGTTCGCGGTGCGAGGAAAGGAGCGGAAAGAGAAGTGTTGTGAACTGCAGCATGGTGATGTTTGAACTTGGGTGCGGACGAAATGAAACAGTCCGGTTAAAGAAAGTTTTTGGCTGCTATCAATGTTTACACGATCAAGTCACTTCTTTGGGCTGTTATTTGTGATCGGTCGTTTCTGAAGGAGAGATACGCAGCTCAGCGGGCCTTACCTGGTAAAATAAAAAAAGATTGTTTTAGTTTTTACTTGACTTGGTCTATCAGGGTCCAAGGTCCTTTCTCCAAACCTCCGATTAGCGCGGCTGGCTACATGCAGTGCGAAATGAGTGCAACGTACCCTTTGGTTCTTTCGGTAAAGTCACGTTGGTGAAAATAAAATGAAAATAAATATTTTATTTTTATTATAAAATTTTAAGAAATATTTTATTTTTATTATAAAATTTTAAGAAATATTTAATTTTTATTATTTTCACCCACGTGACTTTACCGAAAGAACCAAAGAGTATGGATCCTTGCAGTCAATAAAACTTCAAACCTAGAACTAAGTTGAACGTACGCACACATAAGACCTCCGTTGAGTTCGGAAACAGGACTGAATATCCTGCTGCCCCCCTCCTCCCCCTGCCCCCCTCTCCCCCTGCCCCCCCCCCTGCCCCCCACCTGCCCCCCCCCTTCCAATTGTGACAGTCGGCGAACGGGACGGCGCCTGGGAGCTCGTGGCCCGCCGGGGGGGAGGAGGAGGAGGAGGGGAGGGGGGGCCAGCGGGGGGTGGCGGGGGCGGCGTGGTGGTGGCGTACTACTTCTGCGGGGAGCCCATCCCGTACCGTTCCAGGGTGAGGGGGGTTCCCTCACCCTCGCCCACTTCAAGGAGCTGCTCACCAAGAAGGGCAACTACAGGTGAGTGTGCGAGCACGCAGAGGCGCGCGTGCGTGCGTGTGTGTGAGCACGCAGAGCGCGCGTGTGTGTGTGTGATTGTGTTGTGATTGTGCGTGTGTGCGTGCGTGCGTGTGTGTGCGCGTGTGTGTGATTGTGCGAGCACGCAGAGACGCGCGTGCGTGTGTGTGTGATTGTGCGTGTGTGCGTGCGTGCGTGTGTGTGCGCGTGTGTGTGTGTGTGATTGTGCGAGCACGCAGAGACGCACGTGCGTGTGTGTGTGTGTGTGATTGTGCGTGTGTGAGTGTGTATGTGTGATTGTGCGTGCGTGTGTGATTGTGCGTGTGTGCATGTGTGTGTGATTGTGCGCGTGTGTGTGTGCTATGTGTGTGAGTGAGTGTGTGTGAGTGTGAGTGTGTGTGCGTCCGTGTGTGCGTGTGTGTGTGCACACGCCCTACCTCCTTTCTTTCGCTCGGGCACACAGGCTTACGTCACCCTTCCCTGTGTTGCAAAGACAAAGATCCCCCCCCCCAGCCGTGTAGCCTGCAACAGGCTGTTGGGGCAAGTGCGGTTAGCGAGTAGTCGCCTATGAAGGCTGGAAACGACACACGAGGGGGTGGGTGGGTGGCGAGCACTACGCCCGACCGCCTTCGTCTCCCCAGTGGTGATGTTTTCACATCGCACAGGTATTTATTTGTGGCTGAATCGACCTAGGGGAGGCCCAGGACCGGTTCAGATAATCGTCAGTGGTGTTGGCCGTGAGCGGGAATCGATCTTGGGTCTCCGGGTTCATAGCGCAGTGCACTAACCTCTACACCACCGCTCCCACGTTACATCGCACAGACACACACACTCAAGTCGCCCTTCCCTGTTACAAAGACAGAGATCCCCCATATAGCCTTAACAGACTGTTGGGGAAAGTGCTGTCAGCGAGCGCCTGTAAAGGCCGGCACGGCACACGAAGGGGTGGTTGGCCAGCACCTCGCCCGACCGCTTCTCTCTCCAGAGTGACTTAGGGGAGGCCCGGGCCCGGTTCGGATATTCACCACCGATGTTGGCCACGAGCGGAAATCAAGACACAATCACGCTCACGCGATTGTGTCTTGCATCACACGCGCACACACGCGCATACAAGGGCACTG